GACTGCTGACTACGGGCCAGCTCTCTTCCCGGTGGATGGTCGGCTACCGGGTTGATAGGGTTTAGGGTTTAGGGTTTAGGGTTTTGAGGGTTTAGGGTTTAGGGTTTAGAGTTTTGGGCTTAGGGCTTAGGGTTTAGGGTTTAAGGTTTAGGGTTTAGGGTTTAGGGTTTAGGGTTTAGGGTATTGGGTTTGGGGTTTAGGGTTTAGGATCTCTCCTCAAGACTGCAAAATGCATGGCGAAGGCGGCTGCGCTTCCTTGCTCGAAGCCTGTAAAACAGCATTTGGCTTTAGGGTTTTTTTTACCCGATTCTGGTAACATAGAGGATAAGTTCCTTTCCAAGTACCCAGTTTAAGCTCTACGGTTCTGGTTTTTAGGGCTGTTCAGATTTAGGGCTTTGTTAGCACTACGACTTAACTTGACGAAGTTAAAGGTCGTGCCCTAAACCCTAAACCCTAAACCCTAAACCCTAAACCCTAAACCCCTAAACCCCTGGGAACCTCGTTCTTGTTTCGATTGCGTGAACCCCAAAGCCGAACCCCCCAAGCAGCGAAATCAGCCCTCAGTCTGTTTAGGGTTTAGGGTTTAGGGTTTAGGGTTTAGGGTTTAGGGTTTAGGGTTTAGGGTTTAGGGTTTAGGGTTTAGGGTTTAGGGTTTCCCTCACCCCTGAACCCTCAAGACCCTTAGAATCCCTTGCGTTCGAGCCCAGAAAAGGGTTCTGGGGTCTATTAAGGGTATATACGTGTATTGTATGGGAAGGAACCCTAGTGACCCTGGTCAATCATGTCGGTAATGATTCAGGCCGCTACATTACACCCTGACATAAAATTCTCGACTCGACCCCAAAACCCCTAAAACCCAAACCATGAACCTCCTGAGCCCTCCACCCCTACAGGAACTCTTATAGCAACCTCATAATAGCCCTTTTGTAGAGGGTTTAGGGTTTGAGTTCAGAGCAACCCTCAAAAAAATCCCTTGCAGCAGTGATGCCAATTTCTGCGCTCGGGCTTAAACCGTGCCGTGCCTGCATCCCCTTCGGGGACGTGGAGGCGGCCTCCAAAGCTTCGAGGCCATGTAGGGTTGGGGGTTTGGGTTCAGGGTCGAAGCTGTCCCCAGGGGTTTAGGGGTTTAGGGTTTAGGGTTTAGGGAACCTAAACCTTGAACCGAAGCTATACACGGGGGTTGCTATTTTCAAAAGCTCCTGGGGAGGACTTGGGAAGGATGAACATTCAGGGCTCTTGGTATCGAGGGTTCAGCGTTTAGGAGTGAGACGATTTGTTGGGGGAATGTCGCATTCAGTATTTAGGTCAGAACGCGGAAAACTTGTGGTTGCGGTGCTAGATGTGAGGCCTAGCTGTTGGTCACTTCGGGATTTACCCACGACCACCGAAGCCAAAACCCTCCACCTTTCGGGGTCAGGGTTTGGGGGAACTGTTTAGGGCTTGTGGTCTGAGGGATTGGCCGTGCCAGAAACATCGAGAGGCCAACAGTTCTCTTAAAAACTCAATATCGGGGAGATTACTGAGACAAGGCAAGTCGAACCCAAAGTAGATGAAATGATACATTGATACCCCTACTGACGACAGTGAGGACAAGAGACAATAACACTTATGACGGCATTGTCTCCGTGCGGACATGCATACTGCTACCAACAAGTAAGAGTTCCTCCTCCTCCTCTCTCGCCCTCGTCTGAACCACTGTGAGCAGTAGTAGAGGTCATGGTAAGAATAGTTTTCGTAACCATCATCATCATGATAACAATAACAATAGCAACGATCACAGCAATGACTATACAGTTATTACGTCCTCTCTTGTGGTGCTTACAACTATTATCAATATCATGATGACGGTTATGATACTCATTATTATTATGAATATTCTGTAGTAGTATTGTTATTATTATTGTCATTCTTGTTTGTCGTAAAGGTAGTAGTGGCAGAAGTAGAAGTAGGGTGGGAGCTGGAGCAGTAGTTGTAGTAGTTGCAGTTGCAGTTGCAGTTGCAGTTGCAGTTAAAGTAGTCGTAGTCGTAGTAGTAGTAGTAGTAGTAGTAGTAGTAGCAGCAGCAGCAGCAGTAGCAGTAGTAGTAGTAGTAGTAGTAGTAGTAGTAGTAGTTAGTAGTAGTAGAAGCAGTAGTAGTAGCAGCAGTAGTAGTAGTAGTTAGTAATAGTAGTAGTAGTAGTAGTAGTAGTAGTAGTAGTAGTGGTAGTAGTAGAAGCAGTAGTAGTAGCAGCAGTAGTAGTTGTAGTAGCAGTAGCAGCAGTACTAGAAGTAGTAGTAGTAGTAGTAGTAGTAGTAGCAGCAGTAGAATAGGAGTAGCAGTAGTAGTAGTAGTAGTAGTCGTCGTCGTCGTCGTCGTCGTCGTCGTGGCAGTACTAGCAGTAGTCGCTGTACTCAGTAGTCCCAATGTCGATGTCAAGTCAAGGGATCAACTCGTAGGCCGCCTGTCCACGAATCCGCGGCGCCAAAACCCGCAGCAAAGGCAAGGACGAGGACAAAAGTAGCTCTGGGCATCGCAGGGTTTAATGTAGGGGCCTTAATATTTAGAACAGGGTTTTGGGCCCTTTTTATTATAGTTATAATAAGGAACCCCCAAAATAGTATTGGGAATTATTTAGGCCCTATATTAGGATTGAGGGCTCAAGGTGTTGGGTTGGGGCTTCGTGTTTAGGGGTTGCGCTTTCAGGGAATCAGAGAACTCAATAATACCGCTGCCTCGCAAATAAGGAATCGACCCGTAAACTATGCATCGCGTAATACTGTTCAATGTATATTCGTCAGTTGAATACAGGATGAAACAAGCTTGGGCATAAGGTGCTTCGAGTTTGTTTCGTCTCCTGCGAGATTTGCGAGTGTTCGAACATGTCGGACATAGGACATCGAGGGTTCATGTTTGGCACCCAGATGCCTAGTGTAGGGGCCTAGTAGTTGGAGTGCGGCGCGTACCCGCGCGTGTGGTTTCAGCCGCTTTTGCAACTTTTTCGGGGTTGGGGGGGGTGGGGGGGGGGGGATAATTCCGTGCTTTTGGACTTCTGCAAGCCCAAAATGCCCAAGCTCGACTCTTTCTCCCTCCAAAACCGAAGCATTGACGCTCAAGACTCGGAACCTCCAGTCGTTGTTTATCCCGTGCATTCGGAGTCAAAGTCAGCATGGTGACGCAATGGCTTGCGAGTGAACCTCGCAGCTAGCAGTGAGCTGCGGCAGCTCAGCTCTTTGTCAGTGAATCTGAGCGCCTATGCTGGACAGAAGATCCATCATGTAGCAGGAGACATGCACCGCTGCCTGCAAATATGTGAAACTGAGTGCATCCCCTATGGCGTCTCGCGGCTGCTTATATGCAAGATCTTTTCGCAGTTGCAACGATGTTTTCAAAGTGAGCTTCTTTCAGCACGGCACTGGTCTACAGAGTTTTGGCTTCAGCAGCTTTCAGCACGGCACGGGTTCAGTGCTCCACTTTTGCACTCTTCTGCGTGTTTGACGGAGCTGCGAGCATGCCAGAAGAAGAAACGGCCACTTTCCGTAACAACTACTTCGTGCGAGCAAGTGCTCACACAACCTGCCCCCCAATGTAGGAAACAATTGCCCGATGTGCTGAAAAGCCAGCCCTGCCCATGTTTTCTGCACGTCCATCACCCATTTCACGGCGAGCAAGTAGTCAAATAGCCTGTCCCCTAAAATAGGCCCGCGTTGCCCGATGTGTTGAAAACCCACCCCTGCCGATGTTTTCTGCACGTCCGTTCTTGAGAACATGCCTTTTGTACCACGCGCGAGAATCAACCGCGAACCATGTAGTTATGTGAACCAGTGAAGCCTTTGGGGAGGCCAACGAGGC